TTTACAAATTTTTTCTGCATATTCAACACTTACGTTCACGTCGCCTGATTCTCCTTCTAATTCAAAACGTTGATTAGCATCACCTACAAGAATAAATTCGAAAAAAAAATTGTAAGGAAAAAAGCATTTCATATAAATAAACTAAACATAAACATAATTATATATAAAAAAACGACCAAACAAGAGTTATTTGAAAAAAAAAATCCAAAAAGTTCGAAGAGATAATTGATCTCTGCGAATTCTTCGCCGAGTGCGGAGAAGTTTTCGGCCTATAAACAAATAAAACAAATAAAGCACAATAAGATGATAAACTAAAAACTGTATAAAGGCAAACACTAACAACTTTTTTGAAAAGATTTTAGAAGTAAATCATACTAAAAACCTTTCCATCATAACGACAAAATCCTCTGCTATAGACTTTTGTAGCGCAAAACATAAGTATTTCCTTATTCAACACTTACACTCATTCCTTAGCATCATGAAAGGAAGAGAATTAAAAAAAAAAAAGAAAATTATAACGAAATATATAAAGAAAACTATACTATATAAAAAAAGACCGCAAAAAAAAAAAAATTCTCCGAATAGTTTGCAGAGATGAATTCATCTCTCCCAAGTGTATGGAGAGATCACTCTTCCTCCGCACTCTCCGCGCACTCTCCGCGCAGTCTCCGTACAGTGCGGAGTCTTCGAAAAAAATTTCTACAGCAAACTAAAAACATATCTCTCTGCGAAGTAGGAGGAACAAAAAACTATACTAATAAATTTTTTAAAAAGATGTAGAAATAAATAAATCATACTAAAAACCTTTCCATTACAACCAAATCCTCTGTTTTTTTCTAGATTTTTGTAACAGGAGAATTAGAAGATGGCAAAATATAAGTATTTACTTTACCAATTTTTTTGTACTCACACTCATTCCCTTTATTCCTTGATTGAAAATGTTGATTAGTATCATGAAAAGAAAAAATTTGAAAAAACAGGAAATTATAACAAAAAAGCATTTGAAAAACTATATTATATAAAACACACCGTCACAAAAAAAAAATCTCCAAAGAGTTCTGTGCGGAGAGATCACTCTTCCTCCGTACTCTTCGCACATTCTCCGCACAGTGTGGAGCTCCAAAAAATTTTCTCTAACAATAATAATAACAGATTAAAACAGCAAACTAAAAACTAAATATAATTATTATATAAAAAAACTACAAAATTAGCTTGATCAAACTACCAAAAAAAATTAGTAAGTTGAACTCTCGCAGATAGTTCTGAACTCATGCGCCATCTGGCACCTTTTTTTTTTTTTTTTTGACAAAATATAATCAAAACAAAAACAAGCACCCAAAGAAGTATAAACACTACTAAATACAACATGTTAAGCTGAAGGTTCGTAAACGTCAATCTGCAGAAGAAGGTTGCACTTCATGCATTAGATTTTTGAGTTGAAGATTCTCAATGCACGTGTGCTTTCTCTTTCTTTCACAAGCTCGTCTATTCTTAAACCAATCACCAACATTTTTTTTTAGAAATAACAGGATTGTGTAACAATAAGGTGGAGACTATATGTAGAATTTCTGCATTATTTGAACTTTTGCTTCCTCTATCAAATATGGATCAAAGAAAATCAACTTCTGTAGATGTAGGTATCCAACGTTGTTGTCTTTCCATGCCTACAGCAAGCTTAAAAGCCAAGAAAAAAAAAAAGAGAATCAAAGATGAAGTGAAAATATGTGATCCAACAAGAACATATTTCACGAAAAAGTAGGAATGAAAATATCAATAAAAAAAGAATAAAAAGGAGAATAAGGAGTATGGTCGTGAAGTACGGTTAGCATGTTTGTTGGAATGGTCGAACGAAAGAAATTTTTTTTTATTCACAACAAAAAAAAGAGGGAAAATAGCGTGAACAGTAAAATGGGATTGGTTTACTGTTCTCTCCACAGTTGCATGCCATTCACCTTTTTATTAGAAGTTAGAAATAAGTATTGACGAAACTTAACGAGTTTATTATCAACCTCGAAGTCTCTAATTTTGTAAAAGTCTAACATATAGTATGCTCGTGAAGACAATGAGTTTCTCTTGCTCGCCTAAACCAAGGAAACAAACAAATCTACGATTAACTTTTTTACTAGTATTAGAAGGTCTTTAGCTTGGCACCTCTATTAATACTTGGTTGTGCATGCCCATTGAGAGTTCAATGTAGATTCAAGTATATTATAATAAGAGAACACTTGGAAAAACACATTTAGTGCAATTTTGGTAGTGATTTTCCTCACCAGAAGATCAATTTTTTTACTGTTATTTCACTAATTCAGCCGTCATTTTTGACTTCTTCTCTCATAGATAGGACCTACGTTTCTCTCTAACGATCAAAAAATCAATTCTCAAAATCACTACCGAACAAGTCCTTAGACAGAGGACATCAAAAGCATTTGTGAAGCAAGTTAATAATAATGTACAAATTTCTTAGGTTTGAGATGACTGTGTCTTGTCTTCCTCAAATTAAATACTAAACCCTAGTTACATAGAAGACGAGTAAAGCCTAGAAAACTCCTTAAGGAAGTATTTCGAACCGAACGTTAACAGTAGTTTGATAAAATATGAACTTATATCAAAATCGTGTTCTTGTGGTTTTGTTCGGTTTTAAATTGCAATCTTCTTAAATCTTAAATATTTTATTTTTAGATTTGCGATGAAATTTCCCAGCTAAAATTTTTTAGGTATTCATAATATCTTACAAGCACATAAAATTCATTAGTCATAAATGAAAAAAAAAAAAGGGGGTTTTAACTAACGGTCATAGTAAATGAACGTGACAAACCATTCACCATTCTTTTTTCAGCTCATTTTAACCATCCACCATTCAGTAGATCCATAATTATTTTTGTAAATTAATTAAGAGAATCCAAATAAATAATTGATCATCCTTATTAGACAACTCACGGTTCAAAAAACCAAATTATCAATGGATCAACATGGCGTCAAACCAACGATTTGAAATGAAGATTTTTTAGTTTGGTTCAACCGTTTTTGTTTATACCCCTAACTTGAACATAAACAAAAAACAAGAAGACTATTAAAGAACAAGAGGATATAATAAGTAAAAGTTACATCTACCCATCCTTAAATTCTCAATTCAAAAATTAGGTTTAAGGATTTTTGTTAAAAAAAGCAATAATTCAACCTTTAAATATTAATACTATTATTATAAAATTAAATTAATCTACGCCCCCAACCCATCTCCCAACCCAATTTAACTCTAAACCTTGATTCATCTCTCTCTCTACCCACCCCTCTCACTATTTTGGTGTTGCTGCAAGAGTGGCACCACTCCTCTTGCAGTGACACTGCCAAAACCTCTCCGCGTGGTGCAGAATGCAGTTTAGTTTTGATTGAAATTGATGCTCTGTTTCTTCCTCTGCTTGCGCAACGCGATCTATTTTAATCTACATATTTGTGTTGTTGTTAATGGTTGTGGTGTGATAGACGTAAAAGAAATGGTGGTCTGAGGAGATCATGGTGGTGATTGTTGGTACAAGCGATGGTACTGATGTAGTGGTGGTGATGGCGACAACGACGGCTTTGTGGATTTTTTGTGGTTGTGGTGTAGACGAAGATAGAGGAGATGGTAGTTGTAATTGTTGATTGTTGGTACAAGCAATGGTAGCGCTGCTAATCGATATGATGATGATGATGGTGACATGGTGGTGGTGATGGCGGTGGTTGTAGATAGGTGATGCTGGTGGCATTTAGGTGGTGGTGAGGTGATAGTTTTGATGGTGCTGGGTTTAGGATGGAATTGGGGTTGTATAGAGAGGATTTGTGATCAATTATTTAGATATTATGATCAATAACAAATTTATGATCAATAAATAATATGTAATCTTAAAAAAGTGAAATTGATACTAAATTTGTAATAGTGACTCATAATTTGTTAAGTTGTAATCAAATAATTTGATAATTTGTGATCAAAAAATAACTTGTGACCAATTAATTTTATAATTTGTGATTATAAAATAAGTTGTAACATTTAAAATTGGAGATTTGTGATTGAGAAATAACACATATTCTAGTAATTTGATAAATTGTTTTTGATTTGTGATAGAGAAATAATACATGATCAATTAATTTGAAAATTTGGGATTGAGAAATAAGTCGGTGACCTATAATTTTTTTGATTTTGTGCTGTAATGGTGACTAGTACATAATTGTGACTATAAATTATATAATATTATGATCTTAATATATTTAATTAATAAAATATATTTTAGATTAATTATCTAACTAATAAAATTTAATTAAGACTTGATTTTTGGAATAATAAAAATTAATTTCTTAATTTTGATATTGTGTATTGTAATATATATGTAATGTTCCCATATTTTAATAATTAGGAATACATCCCGTCTCTTCCCTGTTGAAAAACAAATTATTAAGAAATAGCCTTGAAAAATATTTTATTTATCCAAATAACGCTATTTAACACCATTTATGTTTAACACAAGTCTAGATGATAGCACTTGTGACATTAAACCCCCGTTTGGCCCTCATTAATTTCCATTACATTACATTCAATTTTTCTCTCTTATTTTCAACCACACAATCTTCAATAAAATAATATTATAGGTAAATCGAAAATTTTTCCTTCTTTTTCAACCACTCATTTTAAAAATAAAAAAAAACACTATTCCACTCATTTTCGCTACAAAAATGGGGGCCAAACGGGGGCTAAATTAAAGGTTCAATTATATATTATGATCTATGATCCATTCAATAGAACCTACGATATACTGACATCTAGAAGGATGTTCAACACTACTAGTATTATATAACATTATTCATGTCAAAACTAATTTTAGATGGTAGAATACAAAAGAGTGATGCGGGAACTGACAAGGGTTGCACGCTAAAATATTGTGGACTATGTTTGATACCTAGTGGCAAACAAGGTTTTAGTTTCTTTTACTTTCTTAATACTATTGAATACTGTACAACACACCTTAACGAACAAACAATGAACCCAATGATCAGAGATTAATGAATGAAACCCAACAAACAGACGGTGCATGGTACATACAAAAAATGTGTAACAGGTGAAGCTATTAGATTGAACAAAATATTAAGGGCAGGACCACATATACAGCAGAAATAGAACTGTTGTCTGTTGTTGAGATTTACAATGCCCCCATCACTCAGTTGAAGACTGTATCTTTGTCTACCTCAAAAGCCTTTCGTACCTTTTTCAATTCCTCATTCATTGACAACAATTTTGTGCAGTGATTAACTTTCGGCGAGTCCTACAAGATTAAAAAGGCCAGTACTGAATTTACCAAACATTAGTAGCAGTAGCTAATACACAAGAGTGTTATATAGAAACGAGAAGTAATATTATTCGGTTTCTCTAAACTTTATATTTCACCTGAGAACTTCTAAAATTTCTGCTACAATCCAGTGTACATTAAATTTGAGATATACTTGCCACTTCGTCTTTTTATGAGAAGTAAATGTTTTAATTCCAAGAAACTGAAGATTAGCACCAAAGATGAAGTTTGATCATAAACAACGGAAAACAATTTTTACAAGCCTGTCGACTTAAAACCCGAATGCCTCTTTGATAGGTGAAATGTATTCGACAAATTTAAGAATTAAGAATTAAGAAAGGAAAGTTCACAGTTTTTATGAGTCACATAAATGTACCTTGCGAATTAAGAAAAGAAAATCCTCGGTCAAAAGCTTTCCTCCTTTCGATGCAGTATCTTGAGCTTTATGGACCTGTAGAAGTCACTATTATCATTTGCAATCCAGCACAGGGCAAACAGAGCCAAAAAAGATATAGCCGCAAGGAAATTATAGATTTCAGTATCATCTGGATGGATCAGAAAGAACAAAGGACTCACCAAATCTGTTACGTACTCCACAACAACATCCTCCACAAGTGCCAAGGTCTCTGGTAGTGGCTTTAGTGCAACAATGGCAATACAATGACATTATTGCATTATATATAAGACAGTTTCAGATAATTGGAGATGAGTGTGTACATGGGAGTGCACCACGATGCACGTGTCAAGACTAATATCACATGCATGTAAATACATTATTGATCTGGCACTCTTGGCCATCCAACATATAGACAGACAATTTGTTCAAGTAATGATCAAGAGATGTAAAACTTTACGAATTAGATAAGCATGTCCATAAAATTGAGGAAATATATAACCAACAGTAAAATCCACCTATTTAAAGAGATAGAGAGAGATTAATTTGCAGAGAAAATCTAGAGAAAGAGCAAGACATACATTTGGATCATCGCCAAAACCATACACCATATGCTGCACTGATGCACCCAGATTAAATAATTAGATAGAACATAGCATAGGAGTTAAAATTTCATTTAGAACAAGGAAAAGATGCGAGGGAGGATAAACCCACAATCTTTTTGTAAAACTCCACGTTTACGCTTAAATGAATTTTCTGGAGGCTGAGATGATCCCACTTTCGCTTTGGTGGAAAGTCGAGCAGAAGCGTTGTTCATACTTTCTAGTGTCCTGCATCTACTCTTATCATCATTTCAAAATTCAAGGATGAAGTGAATAGTAGATTATATCAAATACCATGAAGCATCAGATTAATATTACTATATTAGCGAAAATTTGCTTATTAGATAAAGCATAAAGAGCCATCAAGATTAGCATAGAGTGCAGACTAAATATATCCCCCAGTCTGTTCTTTCCTTTGATTCTTGAAATCCTCTAAACTAGATAAATGTCATTTAATGAGAGAAACTACACCAACGAGCACAATTACATACAAAGTATCACGGACAAACATTTGCTTCATTATGGAGCATTCATAAATGGCATTTTCATCCTGTATTTTTTTGCCCAATGTCCATCATCCATAATAGTCCATATGGAAGTTTAACAATGTCAAATGCCTCCAAAAGCGAACCAAAACAATAAGAAGCACAAGTTTTCGTTGGCTGGAAATTGAATTTAATAACAAAATCATAAAAGACATTCAGTTCGAGATAGGGCTTTTCGAATTGAATATCTCAAAAACTGGATGTGGGGTTTGGCACTGCCCCCACCAAAAAATACATATATTGTCATGTAAAGATCAAGAAATATAAACAAGAATAGTGAAATACTTACCCGAAAATTCAACAAGAATCTACCTGCGGAAACCCAGAGAGTAATTAAACAATAAATCGTAATAAAAACAACCAATTGATTTATTTTTAAAAGAAAGTCAAATCAAATTATATGAATCAAGAAATTAAGGGGTTGAGTAGGAGTGGCGCGTTCTCTTTGCCAAGAATGAGTGGCTTTATATCTTTTGGATTGAGAATCTAAAAGGAAGTAATATAGGAATGGGAAAATTTCACAATACCAAATGGGTAAATTAGGCTCATTACAGCCCATAACTAGGAAATTTGAAAAATAGAATGCATTATGAATAAAGAGTAGAAAATTTTCTAAAAATCTCCAAGGGTAAAATTATAGAGTTCATTTAACACGAATAGAAATTCTAAATCTTTTTACGATTGGGTTGTTTTGGGACTAGTTTTGAGCGAAGATCTTTTCTTCCTTCGTAAATGGTTTTTTGTAAATCTTTGTTGATATTTTGTTGATTTTATCTATGGTTATAGTAGGTAAATTATTTCATGAAACGAAGCCATCTAAGAGAAAATCTGGAAGTACAAAAGGAACTTCAAACTTGAAGAATTACGCTCATGTGAATTTCAAGGTAATATTGAATAAACTTCGTTTTTGAGGTGAACTTCGGATTTGAGTAGTTTTTTCATTCGTTTACATGTAATCCAGGTTTGAGCATAGATTATGATGAGTTTGTGTATAAATGCAGAAAAAAATTGTTATTAAATTTTTTATTAGCTCCAAAACTACACACTCTTTCCTTTTGATTTTCCAAGACCATCAAGGTGTTTGACAAAATGTCTCAATTGAAATCTTCACTTACATTTAATGAGAGTATATTTAAATAAACATCATATGGCTTTTACATAAAACGTGAAAGCATCCTTATGAAGTTTATTGAAAAATTTGAACAATTCTACATTTAGCCCATGTTTGGTTTTCATTCTTTTCTCATAAAAATGAAAAATATGATCGTTATTAATCACATCAAATCACCAAATTTGAATTTCTATATTTTATGTGGGACTCGTAACGACTGTATTTTTCATTTTCATTTTCATTTTTCCAAAAATGAGAAACAGACAGGGGCTTAATCTCTTTTTAAAACGTATGATATGCAAGAGTCAAATTTTAGGATCTGCTATGCTTTCATCCAACAATTCAATTAAGTGTCGATTTGGGATCAGGATACATGGACGTGCTATTATGAATTTAGTTACAGTTTTATTTCTTTCACTATATTTTGTGAATGGCAGTAATTAGGTGGTTGTTTCTGGATAAGGTTAGATAGAATATTTTATAGTGAAGATACACATTACATGCATGGACCATAAGGACAATGCAATTTGAGATGAAGGAAAGATCATAACTCTTGTAGGTTGGCAAAGAAGTTTGATCGCTTCCTCTTAGAATAAAACAATGCACCATTGTTGGAGTGCAATTTGTGTTGAGAATGATGAATATTATGAGGTTGAATGTGCATGTGTTCAACAATTCTATTTTAGTTGCACATCTGAAGTGCACTCACCTTGTTAGCGTCAAATGTGGGAACTTCGGATGAGGAAGTGCATTGAAAGAGCAGTCAAGCTATTTTCAGAGGTTTCGATTGTCAAAATTCCTTTTCTTACTCAAAGATTGGTGTCAAAATGTCTTAATTATTATAATTGGGGTTCAATATCATTAACACTGTTGAATTTTTGCACTATATTTTCATAACAAGTTTGTAAATTGCTTTGGGAATTGTTGTCAGCATTGCTTGTTCTCGTTGGTGTGCTTGAAATAAGAAAATTTATAGTATGCTGAGAACATTAAATAATTGAATTGGCATGAGAGGGCATTAAATGAAAGAAGACTTTAAGTGCTTGTTTGAGGGGCATTTTTCCAAAAATGAGAATGACATTTTCAGCAGTTGGGCTCACCTCTCTAGACAAATTGTGAGAAGCAAGTCAAACTTGTCATGTCAGGTGGGGCCCAATAACGACTCTTTTTTTTTCTAAAAATTAAGAAAAAATGGGAAACAAACAAGGGCTAAATAAGGAATAAATTCAAAAACCTTTCGTTTCTCACGCGTAAACTAGTATACTACAACGTTTTGTCACTTTTCTTGGTTTTCTATCACTTTTTTTTTTTTTTTAATAATTCATGTTACTTTTTCATTTTCACTTTTCTTTTGTACCACTTTTTTGAGTGTTTACAACAATTTTCGAATGTTTGACAAAAGTAATTCATGCACATGCTTACATTCACAATGTGACTATTGTTTTAAGATAAGTAGGGGTGGGCGTGGTGTGGGTTGGGCCGATTTTTTTTTCCAACCCAAACCCAACCCAATTCAATTATTGATTTAAACCCAACCCAATCCAAACTAATCAACTTTGGGTCGATTTGGATTGTGTTGGTCGTTTTGGGCTTCGGCCCACTTAAAGTTGGATCCGGTTTATTTGTTAAATTTGGACAATTTTTTTGAGTTGGAAATTACTTGGAAAACTCAGTTTTTTAAACACATATACAAGGAATTCTTTCTAGAAATAATATATAAATAAGTTTAAAATTTATGAAGCATTTTTCTTTTTTACAATTTTTTGGAATTCATTCATTTCATCAATGTCTCTGCTTTTTACTTTATCGTCAAATAACATTGGATTTGTACATAGTGTTCATGTGAATCGATCTATGTGAAGAAAATGGACGGTTATAAATTATAAGTTATTTTCTTATCTTTAATATTGTGTCTATTTAAATTATTTTTCCATCTTAAATATTAATTTTTTAATTCATCGGGTTGGGTTGGATTGAGTTTTAATTTATAACCCGAGACCCATCCCAACCCAACCTCAAATTTAATTTTCCAACTCAACCAAATCCAATTGAACTTAAAAAATCGACCCAAACCAATTGATTTGGGTTGGTCGGGTTGAGTGGTTTGGGTTGGGTTATACCCAGCCCTAAAGATAAGCATTTTGTTTGCATTTAAGTCTGTGTCACTTTTTTCCTTTTTTTTTTGAATTCATGTATATAAATTTTCAAAAACACGAACGTATTCACTTAGTTAATTGCTCCAATAAGACACGGTGATTTTTTTAGAGAAGAGTAACACAATATCATTTTTTCATATAAATTAACTTTTGTACATAATGTCACAGGAGTAACAAAGTCACTTTTTACATTCTTATATTCGCAAGCACCTTACATGCATAAATTGAATTGATTCAAAGTTAATTTTCGTATGTAAATGTAAAATAAGGTTTGAATTGGTATATTTAAATTTTAAAAAATGCACACGTATTCATCTAATTAATTGCTCCAATGAGATACTATGACGTCATAAGAATAAATGGTAGAATATAATTGTTTCATAGTCATTGTTTCATAGAATAGTGATAAAATGTCACCTTTTTCACATTCTTATTTTGCAAACACATTGCATGCATCAATTGAATTGATTCGAAGTTAATTTTTATATGTATTTACATAAAATAAGGTTTAGATTCGTATATTTAAATTTTCAAAAATGCATACGCATGGATCTAATTAATTGTTCTAATGAGACACTATGATTTTGTTTTAGGGAAAATTGACAAAATGTCACATTTTCACATTTTCATTTTTGCAAACATGTATCATTTGAATTGATTAAAATTTAATTTTTCTTTTGTATTGATGGAAAACAAGATTTGAATTAATATATTTAAATTTTCAAAAATGCATACATATGTATCTAGTTAATTGTTCTAATGAAATACTGTGACTTTTTTCACATTCTCATTTTTACAAACACATTGTATATATGCAAAACAATATTTAAATTCGTATATTTAAATTTTTAAAAATTCACACACACATATATATAATTAATTGATCCAATGAGATACTGTAACTTTTTTAGAGAAAAGTAATAGAATTTCACTTTTTCGCACTCAATTTTTGCAATCACCTTACATGCATCAATTGAATCAATTCAAAGTTAATTTTTCATATGTGTTAATGTAAAACAAAGTTTAAATTCGTATATTTAATTTTTAAAAAACTCACACATATGCATTTAGTTAAATGTTCCAATGAAATACAATGACATTTTTAAGAAAAGTGAACGTAAAATAATATTTGAATTCGTATATTTGAAATTTTCAAAAATGCAAACATATGTATACAGTTAATTTTTTCAAAAAAGCAGTCACGCTCTCATTTTTGCAAATATCTTGCATGCGTCAATTGAATCAATTCGAAGTTAACTTTTTTATATTTGTGTCAATTTCCTTTTTTTCCTTTTTTTTTTATTTGCTGAATTGGAATTTAATAATCCCTCAACAATGTTAATTTGTAGGGAAAATCACGTCATATTTTTCGCACGAGATATTAACATACTTAAATAAAAAGTTTAATCCAAGACAATGGACTTAAAAATTTGAATTTTCATATATACCTGCCTAATCCAATTCATACTAATATGATTTTGACATTTACTAATACAAAATCATTTATTCAAAGATGAAATTTCACGTGGACTAGAACAACATCAACAATATCAAAATCGAGGTGGAAATTATGTTCATGATTCCCACAATTAAACTACGTAAGTTCACCCATCATGTCACTTTTAGTTTGGAAGTTTAATCATATTTAAGGATACAATATGACAGTATTAGATGAACAAATGATGAGATTAGAATAGAAGAGAAAAGAAAATAAATAATTCAAAGAAATAATACTATTTACTAAACACAATGGATAAATCGCGGAAATTTTTTTTGTCAAAAACTTTAGAAGAAAGAAACAAAGCAGCAGATCACCATCCTTGGAAAATGGAATGGCAGAGTCCCTGTTTTCTTCTGTCTTGGCTTCCAAATACTTATTGACTCCAAAACACGCATTTAACCGTATATTGATACGTTTAAGTCAAAGCATAATTGTGTTCAATGATTTTTCTATTGATATTTCAAATCGATTCGTGTATTTGAAGTCCCCATAGGAAATTCTGTACAATTTTGATTTAGGCCCATGAATAGAAAAGCTCAATAAACTGGGTGCTTTCGACGTTTGGGCTTTTTTGCGTGGGAAACATGCATGGGATAATATTCGACAACCGATATAGTTGAGACATGTCCAGTATTTCTTTTGAGCTCACTATTATTTTTGTTTTAGTCTTAACTAGGAAACAATACATAACTACTAACTATAAGAACCACATTTTACAATTAGCAAACTCCCTCAACACTTTCATAAATCTGGTGATAAATCATATTATTAAATATATAATATATATTTATTCTCTCTTTAACATTCTATATCAATTGACATATTGATATTATAATCCCCACTCCAAAAATCTCCAAAAATTCAAATCTTTCTACACCCCCACACTGACAAACCCTCTCTCTCTCTCTCATATATATATATATATGACGAGATTTGTGACTAACTATGTTATAGGTGATCAGATTTATTGTTTGCTATATTGTTTGTGACTAACTGTGACCAAGTCAGTTTAATTTCTAATTGTATGTAATCAAGTCACTGACATGTATTATCTGTGGCTAACTTGTAACCAAATTTGTGTTTGTGATCAGAGCACTTCTAATTTGTGACTTACTATTAATCTGGCCACATACAGTTACAATGAAGACAGAATTAGTCATATCTGATGACAATAAACACATATTAGGTCACAGAGAGTCACCACAAACAAATCTGCACACATCAAATGATAATACCACA